ATATATATATATATATATATATATATATATATATATATATATATATATAATTAGAAATCGCTAGAGAGGCAAACGGCTACTTGTAGCAGCTGCGCTAGAATATGTACATCATATTGTTGATCGGGGACGTATAGAAATGAGAGAGAGAGAGAAAGTGAATGAAGGTGAGATCGACGATAAAAGGATAATCATCCACCTGTGTCCAAGCCTTTCGTTGAAGATGATATACCGCGTATTTTTTCAAGTTCTGATACTACGAAGCCACGTGTGTAGAGGCTGGTAGTAGGGCGTTTCTTACGAATATTCTCATCTCGGCTTACGAAGATCTCTGCGTAACCCTCAAGTGGGCGCACGCAGCCGTGTGTGTGTACGTGCGTGCGTTTCGGCTGTTGTAAATATAAAAAGAGAAAATATACATAAAATATATACAATTATATATATATATACACTTACACTTACACACACGCATAGACACGTGATAAACTGCAAACGGGTGTCGGCTTACGAAGAATCGCGGGCAGGAGGGAGGAGGAGACGTCTGTAATTAGACGTTGATCGGCATCTCAGGGGCTGTCGGGCCCCGCGGGTGAGCGATAATGTCCTTATATAATGTGGTAACATAATGTGTGTATCTTGTGGATTGCGAGTCTTGTACGCTTAGCCGACAGTTGTAACGTTTGTGAATACCTAAAATAAAAAAAAGCCAAAAAAACCGATCATCGAGAGACTTCTCATACTTCCGTCTGCCTTTCTCCCCTCGTCTAAAATCCGACATTGGATTTTCAGCAAAAGACGCATAGTTAAAAAATAAGCCAGATGTGTCATGTTGCGTTACGACTACTTATTATTAAAATGAAAGAAAGGTTTCCCCAAGTATTTTACGGATCTACTGCAAATGTCACTTCTTATCGACATTCTTTTCATTTCGACGTGTCTTATGAGAATTTTAAACAAACACCCGAGATTACCTAAGATTTCCTGTTTTGGCTTAAAAAACTACCACAACAAGAAACTCAAAGTTACAGATAAAATATGTGTCGGAATATCCCCGCGCAATTATACAATGAAGATATTTTGCTTGATCAACATAAGCACAAAAATATCCATCAAAATTTCTGTGCAGAGCGTAACTATTTCTAAAAATGCTTAAAATTCAAAGTATACAATATCTTTTATTATTCGAGGAGCTTTGCTAGCCAATATTCATGCCGATACCAACACGAAACTGTTGCTTCTTGTGATTTAAAAAGCCACTTATAACTAATAAGGCCTTCGGAATGGGATACAACTTCTTTTCGAACACCGCTCCCATAGTAGTCTCTGAATTGACAAATCCGCGGAAAACAAAGTCCGCATATGGGACATCAATTTGATACACTATCGTGCCGATCGACTCGTGAATTCGTGTGTTGGTCTCTATCTCGACTCCGAGTTTCAGCTGCTTGCTCGCCTGCCGATGATAGCAGACGTGGACGCCCGCCTCGCCGAATGTGGCGGACAACGTGGTGGGACCGGTGCTGTGTCGAAATGCGGCGCACATCATCGTCTGTCGACCCTCGGCTATTTGAGAACCGCATAGGTACGCGATCTCCGTACCAAGAGTTATCCTCGGTGTGATGGCTTGCAGATAATGCAACACCATCGTACCGTGCCGTTGAAGAAGGTCGGGATTTGCTAAGGTCAGCGCTACTGTGCAATCGTCGGAACGGTAATCCAGACCAGTACTGAGGGCCTTATACTTCCTGTCGATAGCGATAAACTCAAGAAATGTCGACAGTCATTTCGAATATATGCACGAGAGCCTCCATTCATTTCAAATATGATTTATGAAGTAAAAAAAATCATTGTAAACCTTGGAGGCTTGTAAATACTTAAAGAATCTTAAAGAGTTTGCTGGACGTCTTATGAATATTTTCAATGTTTTGATTAATTATTGTCTCAATGTAATATTTACGCTCATTTACACATTCATAATAAATATCTACATAATATATATAGATCTGTTAATATAGGTAGGAAATAAAGATTTTAAAACTTTTATATAACATTCAAGTTTTTCAAATCTTTCAGGATTTTAAAAAAGCTCTTTTGGTTTATATAATATTTGAAATGATTTGGGTTCACATGTAGTTAGACAGTTTAAAAACTTTTAAGACAGAGACTCAATTGCTCATTGCTACCCATTGCTAATCTGTGTTGATAGTTTGAATCTGTATCTGCATCCAAGTGTGTGCATGAAGTTAGCACTCATATTTCCATCCGGTGTAATTTCGCCTGAGATAACTGGATATCTTTCTGATAAACCCACATGTTTAGTACCGACATAATTTACACCAAATTTGAGACCATGTGGTGTTACAGAGCTAAGGGTCATCCTGTAAATAAATAGTAATAAACTCAGAATAAAGCCACTTTAACTATGTAACTAAAATTATAGGCAGTTTCATATATTAAAAACTTGCAACATTTAAAGGGCTTGACAATCTTGGAGGTCATTGTTACATATGCATTAATATTTCTCTTATGTATACTTAGACATAAATAATAAGTGTATACTTAGACATAAGTAATTAATTTATTTTAGTAATTTATTAATTAATTATTGAAATATAAACGTTGCACTGGGTATCTGCATATAAACATTGTAGCTTTTTCAACCATCAAAATTCTCAATAGATGACATTTTCAAGATTTATCATTTCCAAGAAACTTTATTTAAAATAATATATTAAAGCCAAATAAAATCTTTATGAGTTAAATGTTTGGAAATTTTCAAGATAGAAATTCAAGTATCACTACTTGTAAGTGACATTGAAATGTTGACTCAGAGATTTTTTCAACAGTAAATAGGCTCCTTCGAAGTTTTGTGGATACAACTGCTTTGTTTTTGCGTGCAAATCTTCAAAGCTACCAGGATTCCCTGGTTTCCTGTCCACTTCTTCGTAACAAGGCACGCACGATGAAGATTCTAAGTTGGCGGAGGTTATGAAAAGCTCGTCCGGTTTGTTGAATAGTGTTTGGACGATGCCCATAATGACGAGAATATTGAATGCCAATAACTAAATGACTGATATATCTTAACATATTGCAACCGACCGCATATATGCATATTCGATATGCGTCTCCCTTCATTCCGTATTTAAATAATTTAATCCTTTGAAAATCTTAATCCATTTATTGGGATAAAAGTTTCGCTGAAATTCAAGTATTATTAAATATATTTAATAATTATATTATTTTAACATTTTTTAGTAAATTATGATTTAATAAAAATGATTTATATTATAATAAAGAAGAATTTTTGTAAGTAATTGTAAATTATCTAATTTATTTGATTTTTCTTGTTTAGAGTATAGTACTTGAAATACGAATTATAAATTTTTATAAGAATTCGAAGTATATATATAAAAGTCTTTTCGACTCTACATCTATCCTGAAAAAGTAGTATCATAAATTTTAGAAAAAGTTATTTAAAGTAACAGTATCCAACAGTGATTTAAATTTATTGTTTGAAATTCAATTGTATATTCCACTATCAGAATAGGAAATTTATAGTCGGATCTTATATTTAAGGCCGTCTTAAATCTATTTTCAGATAATGAACGAATCGTTTCATTAACTGCCGAGTATTTGAAGGAAAGATAGTCTTAAATATAAGACTCAACTATGAATAACAGAATCTATAAATCACATATAACTCACTATTGAAAAACTATCACTACTTCGATTGTTCTATCACTATCTTAAATCCATCACTGTCTTATTTTTTTTTCCTTTATTTGTAAAAGGTGGTACAATAGGTACAGGATTCAGGAACGACGCCTATTTAACCCGCTGTTAACGGTAACTGTTAACTTCCTTAAAATTAAAATTAAAATTAGAATACATCACTACCTTAATTGGCCGATGTGTACGGTGGCGGCTCGTAGCGGAGACTTCAGAACTAGATATATCATATATTGTCATGTATTATTCAAGATCTTGGAACAAAGTCCATTGACCATATACATTGGAGAGAGGAGACTCCAAGATCAGAACTAGATAAGTCGTTAAGCCAGCGGTGCTTGCTTAAGCTGGCGGTACCAGCGGGAAACAAGATCGTATGCCGCTGGCTTTAGAACTCATTATTTTGCATAAAATTAGGGGCTATCTACAACCTCGCTTTAAGCCGTAAGCAACTAACTTCAGTCAATTATTTTTCTTACGTCTCAAAAATTATCGCTCTTATTTGGTAAATACTCTTAAGTCTATGAAGAATCTAAAAGAATGCTCCAATCACAAACAATAATCACTAAGATTGCATTGAATGCACCCAGGGGCCCGATTCTTGACGGTGTACGAATGAGATACACATGCGAACATCTATAGTATACGTAACGTGAACTATACATTTTCGCATGCTTATCTCATCCGCATACCATCAAGAATCAAACCCTAGCACTACACCATTTACTGAGCGCTCAATGAGCATTATTTTACTGGATGCACCTATTATGAATATGGGCTTATGGCTCTTGCACAAAGAACACAAAAACGCTTGCTGCAAGAAGCGACGCGGTAGCCAATCAACGTACCGTTTTTCCATAAGTGCTGGAAGTTTATTGGATACCGCGTCGCTTCTTGTCGTGCGGCAGGCATTTCTGTGTGCCATACGAATGACTTTCATCAAACACTAATTAAACTAATGGATTAACTACAAAACTGTGAACATTAATTTACAGCTTTGCAATTGTCGTTTAAAAAAATACCCGAAAAATAAATCATTTCTATTTTAGCGATACAGAATAGATAATACTGATAGTAGTTTTAAATCATCAATTAGACTAATTAAATTTAAATAAGTCATTTAGAGTTACGAGTATCGATACTATCGATTAACTTATATCGATCTTAACATAGTAGAATATAGTGGACGAGTGATGCTCGATTGCACATGGTCGATAACGGAGGCAAAGAACAGGTGACGACATCGTTGTCATACTCGTGATTTCATAACACGCCATTTTCTTTGTGTAAAGTGCTGGAGAGAAGGATTTTCACGTCGTATTTTATACCGAGTCCAGGTAATGTACACGATGTTTAACGTTTTGATTGTGCATTGAACGACGCTCGCCGTTCCTTTGTGTGTATCGTGCATTTTACCTCGCAGCCGTCGTGTAAGTAGAGTGCTGAATTGCGATTTGGTTCGCGTGTGACAGGTTTCATGAGCATCGCGCAGTTGAACGGATTCTATTCCGTTGTGACGTATCCTCGTTGCTATCTTCTTGCGTTTTTGTGTTATTTGCGTCGTATTGTACAATACACGCGAACTTCACTGATTTTTAGCAGTGTCGCTTAACAATGTAACCATCAAAACCCACTCTTAAACAGCCTCTGAACGAAAGTCTTTCACTTATTTATTTATTTTTTATAATGCGTCATATTGTCACACGTCATTGTTGTCCAATGAGACTTTTCTTGTCAACTCTGTTGGATGATTCATATGATCAGTTGCAATCTAAAAATAGTAAAAAACCTTCTTATTTAATAGTAATTAGCAGTATATCTCTCGTTTTATCTATGCAATGTATAAATATACAGGATGTTGATAGAGTTTGATTTCAAGAACTCATTTCCTTCATGTTTACAGTGCAAAACAAAGCTTATTTTTTATGGTCATAGAATTATTGTTTATCTTTTACGATTAGAAAGGATAACTTTTATTATATAAGATTATAAAATAATTTTATTATATAAGATTTATACTATATATTAATATTTATATTGATATTAAACAAGTTACAAAAGTTTTAAACTGGATTTTTGCTACATATAACAAACAGTAAATTTTTTAGTGATTTTAGTAATTAATGATATTTAAAATATAAACTTTTGAAAACTAAAAATTTATTTATATCCAATTATGATCATATAATTAGTTATGGATCATTAAATTTTCTAAAATATAATTATATATATATATATATATATATATATATATATATATATATATATATATTAAAAATCAATAATGAAATACTTTTTTATCTAATATTAAACAAATTTTAACTAAATTCTAATTTTATTATTATAAGAATATATTTAAAATAGGATATGGAGTATCTCTAATTAAAGTTTTATTAGGACAAATTTATTTTTTCTTGTATTAGAAAATTTATAAGTGTAAAAAAATATACAGTTTTTGAGATATTTGTTGCATGGTTTTGAAAATAAATATATATACTTTATCATATTAATTATAAAATTTAAAATATGAATGTGTATTATTTAAATTTTTACATAATATATTACAAATATTTTATTCTTCTTACAAATGAAAATCTGTAAAATTCGTGTTGTTAAAAATCTTTTTGAACCTAAAGATCTAAAAAATTTATTTTTATATGAAAACATAGGACAACATAAAAAAAGAATTTCTTATGCATCATTTTATGAGTCATAATGAATCACTTGAGAGTTGAGATTAAAAGTATCTGTACTATTCTATGGCTAAATCATAAAAAAGAGAAATACCATGCTGGACTTCTATAATAACACTTTATTTTATAAATATATTACCTTATACATTTCTGTTATTTGAAAATATCCTTTTGACTATATGTTGACTATGATATTAATATTTATATGTCATTTATTCTTGTTTTGCTAAGAAACTATCCTTTTTATGCTCTTATATTACTAGAATTATCAAGTTATATCATTTGATATACAATATTAGTAGTTTCAAAACTTTTCATTTACTTAAACATTAGATTAATATGAAAAAAAATTCATAATCATGTACTTTCTAAAGATTAGTTGATTTCTTTGGCTATTCTACTATTCTGTTAAAAAATCAGAGTAAAAACTGCATAAAATAATTTTTGTAAGAATTCTTAATATTATTTAATATTTTTGTAGCAAAAAATGGCATCCCGTAAGAAAGTGTTGTTGAAAGTGATTATTCTCGGGGATTCAGGAGTCGGAAAAACTTCTTTAATGAATCAATATGTTAATAAGAAGTTTAGTAACCAATATAAAGCGACGATAGGGGCAGATTTTTTGACTAAAGAAGTAATGGTGGAAGATAGAATAGTTACTATGCAGGTACAGTTCGATCTGATTTAATAATCTTATGGTGTTAGAAATCCTATGGTGTTCTGTCCATATCATGTTTCTAGCAGAATTTTCTCTGCTTTAGATTTGGGATACTGCCGGACAAGAGAGGTTTCAGTCATTAGGAGTGGCATTTTACCGAGGCGCAGACTGTTGTGTGCTAGTATTTGATGTGTCTGCTCCGACTAGCTTCAAATCTCTTGATTCATGGAGAGATGAATTCTTGATTCAAGCTTCGCCTCGGGATCCAGACAATTTCCCATTTGTTGTTCTCGGAAATAAAGTAGATCTTGAGTCAAGAGCAGTGAGTAGAATCGTGTCCACATAGTATAACAAAACAAAGAAATATACATAAAATCTTAGAAACATATACAAGAAGAATCAGTTCGAGCTAAATTACGGAAATGAGTCCAAAATCTACGAGATTTAAATAGATATACTTATCTTTGTGTATTTATCTATTCCTGTACATGTTTAGTCACATTTATGTGTTTGTATGAGATAGATAAAGAGGAACAAGATACAGTAGTAATACAAAATGTTATCTTAGAATGTTAAATAATGATAACAAGTCATATTTTTTTCTAATCTAATCATAAATATTCGTGAACTTTTGCCTAAGTTGTAATCTTTATTGAATCTTCATCATGTCATAGATTGTTTTTCTATATCTTGCGTTATAGGTGTCAAGCAAGAGAGCACAGCAATGGTGTCAATCAAAGAACAATATTCCATACTTTGAAACTAGTGCAAAAGAAGCTATTAATGTTGAGCAAGCTTTCCAAACGATAGCTAAAAATGCTTTAGCTCAAGAAAGTGAAGTAAGTGTGTTACATATACACAATGAAGGAGTATTTTTTTAACTATGTATATCTTAATATGATCTCCCTCTTTACACTCTATGTACATCGTAGGTCGAACTTTACAATGAATTCCCGGATCAAATCAAATTGACCAATGACCAAAGAAGCAATGGCAAAGGTGATTCATGTGCTTGCTAGGTCTTGGAGTAGCGGTAATCTTGGTTGACTACAAAAATGCACAGGTCAGATTGTACATTCATGTGCCTGTGCGTAAAGGACGTGGAGAATATATTGCGATGAGCTTTATGTGTGCAGGAAGTCACAAGAATATATTTCTTTATCTTAATGTATCATACAATCTCCTTATGTCCACAAAATATCTCAATATTCTCAAGATAATTCTGTTGAAATGCGAAATCATTAGCGTACGGTAAAAATAACAAAGTAAATCATACATGAAGGAATGTGTACAAAAATATTGATATATAATTGTTTTTATAAACATGTGGGAGTAAGGTATATTTATCCGACTTCCTGACTAAATATCGCAATTCTAAAGCAGTACACTCCCGCTGGATTTAATTTATCACACATGAATTCCCGTCTCTATGTTATTTTGTAATCGCAGATTTACGTTAGAGATAGTTTAGATAATATAATGCTCTCTTATCAGCGAAGCATATGAACTTTTTACCTAGGTTTTTGATGATTTATGGTTAATTTGTTTTCAACGAAACGATATAACCGTGGTTCTTAAATGATAGCGGCTATTTATTGCACTAGAAAGAATGATATACGGGCCGGGAACACGGTTAGCGGTACAATTAGTAAATTATAATAAAAGAATTTGCTCATAATTTGTTAAGTATAATTGCATTTACAAATGAGCTCTAGCACACAGCTTATTCTCTTAGACAGAACCAAATGTTTGCCCCGTGTAAATGGTTCTTATAAAATAGAACAGAAATAAGATAAAGATACAATAAAGTTATTAAGATACTTTGTAGTATATCTTATTATAATCTATTTTAATGAATTCGAAATTTAATACAGATGTATAATGTAAACTTCTAAAATCTTTTTTCTGTTCAATACCTTCGATTGACGTGTGATCTTGTTCATATAATCCAGCCCAATTTTGAAAAGAAAGGAAATTCTTTGAATGTGTGTGACTTGTAGACATTTTCCATCGCTCGATTAATTGTTACATTCTTTTGATAAATATTCATAAGATTCTTGAGCTTGTTTAGCTTATTTACAAAGTCTTAAATTCCTTCTTTGAGTTGAAATTCTTCTTGTACCGCGATGCATCGATTTTTAAGATTTTTTACTATACATAAGGTGAATAAGATTCAAGTGCAGTAAATTAATTGTCAATTGTATGATCTATATCGAACAACTTTATGCAGACTATATTTTGTAAATAAGACAGTGTATGATCCATTTAGGACAATTTAACGTTATAAAAATGAATCTTTATATCCTGATAGCCATATCAGTAAGTATGCGCTTATAATATCTTAATTATAGTTATTCTTATTAGAGCAGTAATTAGTCCTAACAGCGTGTGATATTTATTTTGATGAAGGCGAGCTTTTACATACATGTTTATGCAAATACGAGAATGTTTACATGATGCTGTATGAAAAATGAACATTTTTTGTAGTAAAGATAAGTGTGCACCTATTAAGAGAGATGTGTTAAAAGTTAAAAAATTTTATTTCACGCGTAGAAAGAGGTAAGGTAAAAAATAACATTTATAGCAAGGCATATAAATAATAATATTATGCATCGCGGTATCTATAATTATTGTTGTTTTCACGACTGTAACCTTACGTTTCTGACCAATATTCATATTGACCATATTCATTATGACTAGATTTGCGAAACTATAATTTTACTGGCTACTAATACATATACAATCCTCCCTCTCCCATTTCAAATTAAGAAGTAAGTCCATCTGCAGTATAATCTTCTAGATACACTAGCAAAAATACTTTACACAAAATATTGGTTTTCATATGATTTATTGCAATCTAATTGACTTCAGGCATTTTACAAAATAATGAATTTGTTAAGCTCTGATTTAAATTTTCACTAAGGAAATGTCAAACTCAATTACTTGACATTTTTGGGATATCCAGTGTATATAGCATTTTCATGCAGTAAAAATTTAGCAGATAACATGAGTATACAGAGTATTCCAAAAATTGTGCATTTTTAAATTTTGAATAAATCTGTGATCCAAAAATTAAGAGTACCAATAAATCTTGGTATTTGGAAATTAAGTAAACAATATTTAGATTTCTGATTCAGATTCTGATTCAGATTCTGATTAACAGCTTTAAAAATATAAGCAAGTTAAATATAAAAGGTTTCTTTCTAAAGGACCTAAAAATAACTTACATAAAACTATTTATATTATGTGAGGCAATGTAATTGTAGTATAAAAGATAGCATTTAAATTAATTTATTAAAAAAAATGTCAATATATCTGTTGAAGAATCTATATTAACTAGATGCATGATTTCTTGGATATTCTGTATACGTGACAGTAAAACACTCGCAACGTCAAATGTACTTTCATGGGTCTACGCATATATATGTATACACATGTATATAAATGAAAATAATCATGACCACGACGATTATAATTCATAATATGTATAATTTTATCGAAATATATATATATATATATATATATATATATATATATATATATGTGTGTGTTAATGATATATAAATATAATTATAAATAATACTGTTGTTATATTATTGTTGCTACTGCTATTACTATTGCTACTTCTACTATTACAGATATCTTATTTATCACACAATTCTATTTAGTAGGAAGAATAAGCTAATTGAATGCATACTATAAGAAATTAAAAAAGCGAAATAAATACATTTAAATATTAAAATATTTTTTACTACACTTGTATAGCACTTTATTTTGTGGTATCTATTTTTTATTATGTACGTGTAACTTTCAAATTTAAGCGCCTGTTTTAACCTCAAAATGACCGTGGATCATGTGACTGAAGATCACTACGTAAAAAATGTCGATATCATGTTGCTCCAAGAACAAGTGGTGCTGAAAACTGTTTAGAAAGTACTTGATTGGCTGTCGTTTTTTCAGCGGTATCATAGAGTGAGACTAGAGATTTATTCTTTTTAAGAGAGGCTACAATAAAAACCTTTAAGCTTTAAGTGAGAAATTGACCAATCACAGTTGAATTATAAAAAAATAATTAATTATGATTGGTCAATTTCTTACTTAAAGCTTAAGTTCTCATTAGGTTTGTTCTTTCGACCTGACCTAGGGCTGCACTGAAACTGTACTAGTTGAAGAAAGTTCAAGATAGTGCAGATCAGTGCAAAGATACATATGGGTCTGAAAAGAACGGGTAAGAGCAAGTTAGAGCAGTGTAAGATGGCGGACAACATGGCTGGATTAAATAACATAGATCAATTTATGGTCATGTTTTCGCACTTATAGCATTTTATGTTTTGTTGAACAATCCTATTTCTTTTAAAAACTGTTTTGTGTTGGATACCCATACAACAAATCCCTCCGAAAAAACATCCAAGAGCCTTCCCAAGATGTCTTTCGGATATTTTGTGCTGTTTGGATAACATTCTAAATACTTCTTTTATGTCATTCTACATTATATATTTATTATATATTTATCTACATTATATATTTATTATATATTTAAGTATTTACTTACTGTTTATAGATTCCGTCGTCGGATTATTTCTTCTACGTAATGCCAACTAGGTATACCGATTTTACAGGTTATAGATACAAATTTAAATTTTTTCGGTTAGCTGCCCTGCACTGCTTGCTCTACCTCCAGACCTAGGGCAGTCAGTTCACTGAACTCGCTGCACTAGTTCAGCCTGCACTGTTCGAAAGAACACATTTTCTTGCACTGTTCTGATCGAAAGAACGCATTAGTGCAAACTTCGTGAACTAGTGCAGCCAGTTCAGGTCGAAAGAACAAACCTATTGTAGACTCCGCTTTAACTGAACTGGGATTGCCCATTTCTACCAACCTTGGTTAACTTAACTGGCTAGTAATTCCAACAGAATTGGCCAATTGCACCTGTCAATTCTGACTAATGAGAAATATGATTGGTCAATTCTGTTAGAATAACCAAACGGTTAAGTTAACCAAAGTTGGTAGAAACGGGGATAATTCAACCAGAGAGAATAAGCAAGCGGTTAAGTCAACCAAAGTTGGTAGAAACGGGCATAATTCAACCAGAGAGAAGCCTGAGAGTGGCCACGCCGGTCTTTTGACCGACACCGATTTATAGCCAATCAGAAACATCAGAAATAATTACTGACGTTCCTGATTGGCTGTCGCGACAAGCATTGCGGCCTGCGTTGTGTTTTGCGGACATGGTACCTCAAACATGTACGTATAAGATTCTTTTTCTTTATATATTATTATGAATCAATTTATATGAGTATATGTATAATAAATATTATTTCAGATAGAAATATAAGATAAAATTCATCGCCAGAAAATGGGCGTAGCACGAACGCGCACCAAATCGAGACTTTATCGGCAGCGCCTGAAAATGGGCGTTACGAACGTAGTACCAGCTCAAAAATGGGTGCAGGTGGCGTATCAAACAGTTGTGAAAATTGGTATCGGTCAAAAGGCCGGCGTGCTGCTCCCAGACTTGTTACTGGTATCACAGCATTCGTTAAATGTCAATTTTTTTCTTGTAACAATTAGATCTGCTTTAATTTAAAGCAAATATACAGATTAATTTTCATTATTCACTGACCTACTTCTTATCATTAATCAATTTTACAAATTATTTCAGATACATATGTGATTATTTGGTATTTGTGATTCATGAATTAGTCTGGATTAAGATACAGTTACATTGATGAATGTAATTGAGAATGTCATTTTGGAGTTAATTTATTGACATTTATTTTTTATGCAACTGCAAGGTTTCATATAAAAGACATGCGCCGGGCACGTATAAAGGCTTTGGCTACTGTACCAGTTCGAAAAAAGGTTGTGGAAAATACAGCACCAACTGTAGAAAATACAGATAATACACCTGATAATGAACATATAGAGCAAGAGACACCTAATACTGCTATAATACCTGAGCAAAAAAATAGTATACAAGGTAGTGGTGTAAGCGCAAGTGAATCTGAAGATGAACATGGCAAAAGAGCAACATCTGTTGTACCGAGTCGCATGCGAAATGATTCCATCTGCTCTGTACAAAGTAACAAAGAGAGTACCATCAATGATACGTATGTATTTATTTGTTTCCTTTAAAGTTACAAAATCTTACATTTAAATTGACTGCTAATCTATTCATTCTGACTGTGTACTAATATTCACTGTCAGTATTGAAAATCTATATTATATATATTACAGAGTTTTAATGCTAGCAGTTAGTATCAAAATATAATCTCTATTTTTTATTTTACTTATGTACGTGTGCTGTGCACATATACACTTTTGATTTTCTTTTTTGTTTAGAATTTATCCCTATAACTTTTTTTACTATTGAAGAATTTACTATTATATGTATGCAGAGTAGTTTAGACAAAAATAGTGATCAATCTTGATGCTATCTCTTATGATTTTGTCAGTCTATTTCATATCTATTATATTTCAGTGCAAAAATCAAGGTAACACCAAAGAAACGCACAATGGTTTCGGAATCAGCGAGAAAATTGGCAGAGGCTAGAAGAGAATTTTTATTAAAGCATGAAAATAAGACACCAGATAGAAGTCAATTGAAAATGTACGATCTAATCTATTATAATCCTGTGACGAATCCTATGAAGAAGTCAAAAACACCTACTGTTGTGCCAAGGAACATAACTACAACAGAGTGAGTACAATTTGGTCTCAATATGATTTGAACGTTTTTTTTTCGATATATTTCAGAACATAGTTGATGGTTCAATAAGAAAATTTGTTTTTGATTAATTCTTAGAGATTAAGATCTCTTATTAAACCATTGATTATATTCTGAAATGTATAAAAAATGAAATTGCTGAGACCGTATTGAAACTATATATACATTAAATTATAATAGGAAAATATGCAAAAAATCCATATGTAAAAAATTAGATAAATGTAATCTGTTCTTCTTTAGAATGGAAGAAACTTTAAAGGATGAAAGGGAGGATGATCCTTCGGCGATGCCTGCGCCGCAAGTAAAAGTCGGCCCTGATGGTCAGTTGATATTAGATGAACAAAGTCTTGTGATAGAACAAACAGCTGTGAAGAAGAATAGAGAAATATTGTCACAAGAAGCCATCGTAGAGGACGACGAGCGTGATGGCGGAGGTGGATTTTATAAAAAGCGTCAAAAAAGCAAGGAGTGGCCAAAATGGGAAACATTTAAATTTTACAAAGCATTAAATGTAGTGGGTACGGATTTCCTACTGATGCAAACTCTTTTCCCAAATCGAACAAGACAGGAAATTAAGCAAAAGTTTAAGAAGGAAGAAAGAGTTAATCGTTCTTTAGTGGAGAAGACTCTGAAATATCACCAAGAATTCGATACCGAAACACTAAAAAAAGATTTAGGTATCATCTTTTACAGTCTAATTAAGATTTCAGTTTTAGTTCTTATTTAATACATTGTTTTGCTTTCAGCATTACAAGAACTAGAAAACGTTCAAGCAAATACGGATAAGAAAACGTTAGAGAAAGATAAAAATGAACAACATATGACCAAGCGTGCTAAAAAGCGTAGACGCCGTAAATATAATAAAATTTTTATTTTATCATATTACACACACACACACATATATATAATTTACTTTACTTTATTATTTTACTTTAGATACTCTTTTATCAAATATGTAAAATCTATCTGTAACATCTATTCATATGAATAAATAATGTATAATAAATAATTATAGGGTTTGCAGCAACTAGTATCGCGGAATGCGAAGCATCATCTACTAACAATCAAGAAACTGAGGATAAAACAATAGATGAAACTAATGCAAATTGTGGTGAAGTAAATGAAGTAAATGAAATAAATGAAGTAAATGAAATAAATGAAGCAGATGAAATAAATGAAGTTAATGAAGTAAATGAAGTAAATAGCGATCAACCAACAAGGAAAGGAAACAAACGAAAATTAAAGAAATATTCAATTGAAAACTTCGATGATAGCAGTTGTATGAGCTCTAACGATGATTCAGATAGTGACATGGAGGTTTATCAGATTAGACCAACTAGATCGGGCAGACAGCCAAGGCCGAAGGTGTTACAAGCGCGTAACATTAACACTCTTGATAGTAGCATCGAAAATGAATCGCTAATGGATGAGACTTCGCTGACATCGCTGCAAGAAACTCTTTCGTCGCGAGAAGTTACGAATGATGCGTCATCCAAGGATAGCACAGACGCAACACCTGGTCCTGAAAATATCACAACCGTAATACCAGATATCAATAAAATAGAACCGGGATCTTTAGTGATTCTAACGAAAGAATCCGTAGAAGAGCCAGGGAAAACCATTTTACAGGTTTATATGGTTAGTTCCAATGTTGATAAAAAGAATGCTGATGATGAGACAATTAAGTCCAATATGACACCTGTGGTTCTGCCGCCGGAACTATTGTCCACCGTAACTAATAAAATGGATGATGTCGAGCCAGTTAATGTAGTGGACGATTGTGAATAGCGGTCTCTTACATTAAGCATGATTAAATCTTCGCTCATATATATATATATATATATATATATATATATATATATATATAAACTGTATATGGCTAAGGTATGAGACGTTTACATAAAAAGTGAACATTAATTTGATTGCGAAATAAACACAAAAACTTTTTTTATCTTTTTGACCATGTATATTTTCTATTAGGTATTGTATGTGCGAATTTGTACAATGTCTTGTAATATATTGTAACGTTTACATATATATAATATTTGCACATTGTTGCAATATATGTACATTGTTGCTTATATTAGCAATATTCTTTATTAAGGAACAAGTTAATCCCAGCAAATAAAAAGTAATTTACTACTATTATAATAAAAATTGAACAAAAATAATTGTTAGTAGAACATATGTATAAATTGTTTTATCAAAAGACGAAATGTAGTCGCAATTTGTATTTTATAAAACTTCTCAGTTGAAGATACACAGAACCATAATGTGCTATACTATGAATTATCAAGCATTGTGAGAATACTGCCATAATGATAATATTTTTTGAAGTAGTATACTATCTTAAAACAGCGAAATTATTCTGATTGCATACAAAATTCTATATTAAATGCATAAATTATATGTCTCCAATTGCAAATAAAATATTAAAATTGAAAGAAATGGGTGTATTTATTTTTACAAATAAAAATTACGTTATGTATGAAAAGATGTGGTTTTTAATTTTTAGTCATATTTAATATTAGAAATCCATATACATATATATACATAATATAAGGATAATACGCATACTCTTATATGTAATCTTCACAATGTGTATGTGAGTGCACCATAGATTATGCTCTAGTAATTATTAATAGCATAATTCTATAGTATCACATGGAATCCATTTTGAACTTTCCAAACCATCCCACAAATTGTAATCCTGTTCAATGATCTCCCTATTTGCTTTGTCAATGTCGATAGGAATTGAATGTTCTGCCAAAGAAAAAATATAAAAATTAGTAAAATATTTAAATAGGAGTATAATTAAAAATTATGTTATAAAGAAATAACAGTTTACCAATTAGTTCTAATTCGTCTTCTTCGGGTTTTTGGTCAGATACATAGCTATTATAAGCATCCGATGTTGGCTCACTTTCATAGTAACCTTGTTGCCAAGCACTATAACTATTCCAGTATGATGAGGTGTCATAATAATTATATGCCTCTGAATTCATATTCGAAGGTGGATAGTCCGAAGTTGATTGTGGTGGTGTGGAGCTAGAAGATACAAAATGCTTATGAATAATATTCTATAAAGAAGAGCATAATGTTGAAAACACGTTTCTAGTTTCTAAAATGCTTTCTGAATAAAAAAATAAAATTTTTAATAAAATAAAGATATACCCAGATATCTTGTTCCATGGTCTAGGTACTGCATTACAGATTTTTAAAGATTTTGTTCCAAGTCCTCTATAACCATTCATAGTGAGTAAACTATTCTTCTGTTCATCCTCATTTGCAAATCTAACAAAGCCATAGCCCTTGCTGAATCCAGAACTATCCAGTATGACTTTAGCCGTCCTAATAGAATTGTATTTAGCAGCAAATGCCCTATATAAGGAATAATCATCTACATCAGTGGACAAATCTCCTACCCAAATGCTGAATTCTCTATCAGCTGCAGGTTTTCCTGTAGTACTGGCATGATTCAAACGGAATCGTACTGACTGCAAGACATCAAATCAGTGGAATTAGAATAACAGTAATTAATAAACTTAGCATAAGATATATCATATTTGTAAAAATTAATGCAAGGTACTTACAGGATTTGATCCAGGTATTACTTTACCATTTAATTTATGCATAGCATCAAGTGCCATTTCATCAGTTGGAAAATGTACAAAACAATATCCAGCAGGCTCACCAGTGTATCTGTTGCGCATTACCTTTACAGTTTGTGGTTGCTCACCCATCTTATGAAATGCATTCATAATAAAGCTCTCAGTCATATATGGTTCCAACTAAAAACAAATGATTTTCAATAATTGCATTTGTAAGTAGCTTGATTATATTTATATATTTAACCTATCAGAAATAATTTACTTACACCACCCATCCATAACTGACACAGCACCATTGGACCTGACATCCTGTTTTACTTGTAACTACAATATATCTTTCTCAATTATACTTGTCTATGTAAATGAAACAATTGTTTACTAAAAAATATATATATATATATATATATATATATATGTATATATATTTACACATACGATTATATTATTTTGAAATTAATTGATGAATAAGTTGACTTGCACACAAGAGAAATTAAAAAATAAAACGTATGCTATATTTATTTAAACAAAACGATTACATACACGATAGACAGGTTATGTTGTCCAGAAACTTAAAATCGGATAATGCACGAAACTCAGCGCCTCGTTTATTATCAGCGACTGTTGCCGAAACAAGTGAACCCTAATGAGAAGAACCCTATTGGCTATTCTGTTTTCGATATTTCGCTTTAATGTATCAAAGGAAGTCGATTGTGGACGCATGCGCCATCTAACAACGCGGTGAACGAAGTTCTCGTTGGACAGCGTGTATCAGCTGCTGTGGTGTATATCGCTCCAACGTTCCTGATACGTGTCCGTCCCGTGTGTGGTGTCCGGTGTTTCTGCTAGCCGCAACGCTGGCGTATCCCGAATCTATGGGGATTGTCTGTCGTCGCGTCTTGCTGGGATCTCTCTGTGTGTTCGCATAAGGCGCCCGGCGCGCCTTCCCGTCACGAATAAGCATGTGTCGGGCACGACTGTTACTCCACTTTTTGGCCCTTAGCCTCCCCCTGGTCCGTACCGACGAGCACACTCACATCGTGAGTATTCGCCGTGTTATGCGTCGTCGACATGTGTTATTTCCTGCGAATGTCAGATTACTGCGACCTACGACATTTAAAGGCCAACGTTGCGCCTTTAAAAAGCGGCACACGGCCGTTCTTCTTGACGTCGTCTCCGTTTCTTACACTTTCCCTTTCTCTCTGTTCGAGCCTCGTTACCCACGTCTGGATTCGACGATGAATTCGTGATGCCGGCGTGACACGTATCAGCGAATTCCACCGTTATCACCGCACCTAATTACGTATCGATGCGGTAACGCAATTCGAAGCGCGCTATATTTGCTCCTTTTAATTTTTTCCTTACCAAACGATATGTACGACTTGTATGACGTGACGTATAAGAGGTATCGTGAACATCGTGATTAGCGGATATGTTGTTTGTTGTCAGTACGAGGACGGCGATGAAGTTGTATTATGGATGAGTACAGTAGGGCCGTATCACAATCGTCAGGAAACGTACTCTTATTATTCTCTACCTTTTTGTACGGGCACCAAGGATGTCATCAACCACTATCACGAGACTCTTTCGGAAGCTCTTCAAGGAATTGAGTTGAAGTTTAGTGGCTTAGATATCGAATTCAAAGGTGAGCATATTTACAATTACATATGAATATGTAATCACTCAAATAATATAATTTAATCAATTAGTGACACATACACACACATACACACACATATATATGTGTCAAATATAAATTTACACATGTTTGATATATTTTAGAGGATATCTCAAAAACAGAATACTGCCAGATAAAATTAAATGAAGAAAGTCAAAAGGCTTTTGTGTATGCAGTAAAGAATCAATATTGGTATCAAATGTACATTGATGACTTGCCAATATGGGGTAAGTCAGCTTGGATACTTCATGTTATATATACCTGATTGATGGGATTTTACATTGGAATAACTCCTGCATCATAGGTGTTGTGGGAGAACCTGAAGAAAACAATGGAATTATATCCTATCATATCTGGACACATAAAAAGTTTGATATAGGATACAATGGTAAACAAATAGTGGATGTCAATTTGACCAGTGAAAACAAAGTGAAACTGGTGCAAGGTGCACATATTCCTTTTAGCTATGAGGTCAATTGGAAGAAAAGTAACGTCAAGTTTGAGGATAGATTCGACAAATATCTGGATCCTAACTTCTTTCAACACAGGGTATGTATTCCATTAAACAGTATATCAGTATTTATGTTACTCAACATATGGAACGAAGAAGTATATGTAATATCTCATTCAAATATTAAATCATTCTTTCAGATACACTGGTTCAGCATCTTTAATAGTTTCATGATGGTAATCTTCTTGGTTGGGTTGGTATCCATGATTTTGATGCGTACTTTGAGGAAGGATTATGCCAGATACAGTAGAGATGAAGAAATGGATGACATGGAGAGAGATCTGGGCGATGAGTATGGTTGGAAACAGGTACACGGAGACGTATTCAGACCTGCAAGTCACGCCATGCTTTTTTCAGCTCTTATAGGTGCAGGTTATCAGGTATATATACTTTGTACACTTTTCTCTTTCTCTTTCCTTCTCTCTTTCTCTATGGCCATTAATAGTTGTCACTTGAAAATTTTTTATATGAAATATTCAAATTTGTATTCTGTGTTAAAGTTTTTCAGTTGAAATATATACGACTATATATGCAATCGCGATTCAACTAAAAAAATTCATCTAATTCGTCGCGTTTTTTACACACACGCAGGTCACAGTGGTTGTACTGAGTGTAATTATTTTCGCTATTTTGGGAGAACTTTACACGGAACGTGGGTCGATGCTATCGACAGCAATATTTGTGTACGCCGCCACGTCGCCTATCAACGGTTACGCGGGCGGTGGACTGTACGCACGCATGGGCGGGCGTGTATGGATCAAACAGATGATACTCAGCGCCTTCATGTTACCACTACTAGTATGTGGTACGGCCTTCTTCATCAATTTCATCGCAATGTATTATCACGCCAGCAGAGCGATACCGTTCGGATCTATGGTATGTAAAACCAGCGAGGACTCACGATCAGCATTCCGCTTCCCGGTCGTTTCTTTCCCGTTGCATCACCACTCAACACGATGGTCGATTGCATCTGTTCGCAGGTCGCGGTTACGTGCATCTGTATATTCGTGATCTTACCGCTAACACTGGTAGGAACGATTCTAGGGCGAAATCTCGCCGGAACACCGGATGCTCCGTGCAGAGTGAACGCAGTGCCACGTCCAATCCCCGAGAAGAAGTGGTTCATGGAGCCGTTGGTGATCATCATGCTAGGTGGAATCTTGCCTTTCGGTTCGATCTTCATTGAAATGTACGTTACTACTCTTTAGGTTGTACATTTGAATCGTTCTCGTGACAATCGCACACACGACTAACTTCGTTACTCGACTCTGCCAGGTACTTCATCTTTACCTCATTCTGGGCGTACAAGATCTACTATGTCTATGGCTTCATGTTACTAGTATTCGTTATTCTCATGATAGTGACGGTATGCGTCACTATTGTATGTACATATTTCCTGCTGAACGCCGAAGACTACCGATGGTAAGTCCTCAATAACTCGCATTCTTGTCTTTCTTCCTCTTTCTCGTCGCGTACAGTTACAATGTAAATATATTTCATAGGCAGTGGACGAGCTTTCTCGCAGCAGCTTCGACGGCCGGTTATGTCTACATTTATTCATTTTACTATTTCTTCTTCAAAACCAAGTAAGTAAAGATGTACACTTACTGTACTCTGTAAAGAGTCATAATTGCGCCAGTAAATTAAGATTCTAATAGTTGTGCAAAGTTTATATCGCTGGCTTTTATTCTTGCAGAATGTATGGTCTCTTCCAAACGGCATTTTACTTCGGGTACATGGCGTTGTTCAGCTTGGCCTTGGGTATCATGTGCGGGACGGTCGGATACATCGGCACTAATGCCTTTGTGCGGAAAATTTATTCCACAGTCAAGATAGATTAAAAAGGAACACACATCGCCGACGTATGTCATCATTTGCATCATGAATCGCATGTAATTTCCCGTACAGCGTGGTGCTCACTGCTTAGGATGAAGGTGACGAGATTATCTCGCGCTTCTCCCAATCGCGGGGAGAAAATTCATCCCAAACAGTGATCACGTCGCTCGAGCGCGATTCTCGTTCCGTCGATTGACTCGATTTACTTTTTAGGGGCGGCATCGCATACGCCGCTTATCATACGTTCTTCGTGACGTATTACTATTCTTCCAACGAAACTCACGCCGTCGCGCATTACGATCAGATTTCGAACGACGTCCTCGTTTCGCTGTTCGCCCGTTAATTTCTTTCGAGTCGCTCCGTCTCAAGGCGAGTAAAAGTGCTGTAAACGGATCCTACCGTACTAGTATGCGCGCAATATCGTGAGAACACAAGAGTCGTCTGTCAATAATAAAATAATTGTAAGTGTTAGTCGAAGTGTCCCATGCGAACCCGAGCGGTTATGTGAACGAGCACTCTTCGCGATCGTGCAAATTTAAGATCATCACGTCGCGTATATTTTGTCGTCGCAATATTTTTTATCGGACTGGTACGCGCCAGTGAAGCTAACAAATTTGTAATGGTCGATGGTTCGATATACATTACGAGTTCCTTCGAGTTTGCACGATTGCGATTGTTTCTTGCGTGTGTATGAATATACCTGGCGCGTGTCTCGTCGTATCACTTGGAAACGCCATGTAAAACTGAAGGAACTGTTGTGCGAGAGGATTAACGAGTTCCCGCACTCTCTTGTATGCTTTCTAGCTAAATAAAATTTAGTACGTGCGGTAAAGCGCAACGACGTTTATGTTATACATACATATATAATATAATACGAGGCAAGATAAGTTTTCTTCCAGTTTGTGAAGAAGAAACGCAAAGTGTGTGAAACTTTACAATAGAGTGAACCACGCAATTGTTGACATCTCTCTTAAGGCCGTATTAATAATTGTCACTTGTTTTATATGCTAATACTCAGATTTTTACTCTGAGTTAGATCTAAAGGTACGGTCCAGCGGGCGTTGCAAATGCTTTGTAGCGTTTTTACTTCTTTCTCTTTCTTTATTCAAATCCGAAGAATAGAACAAGAGGGAGAAACATTGCGCAGCATTTGTAGCGGTTGTTGGACCGCACCCTAAATTGTTTCATTAAATTATATAATGTATGTGATATTATATGTGTAATCGCGATTTACAACTGGAAAACTTTCGTCTGCCTCTGATATTCAAATCTGAGTATCACCTAAGTAACACCTGAGAGGAGTTTCAAGTGACGACTATTAGTACGAGCCTTGGTACTCTAGAAAAATCCGATTTTTCATGCGACCAGCATTTAGCATTGAAGTCGAGCTTCTTGCAGGTACTTTATGATTCCAGGAAAAATTTTCACAATTAAAACTGTGAGCTCTAATGTCGCAAAGAAAACCAGACTTTTCTAAAGCACCAGTAACTAAAGGGGATACTAATAATGATGTGGCTTACTCCATCGAGTATTCTAATAAATGGTTCGGGATAAATTAGACACAGTATAATGAGGATGTATTATAATTTATTAACAGCGTAGAAGAAATTTTGTAAAGTTCTTTGCGTTAATGCGCAGACTGTATTTCGACGTAACGATGACGAGAATTTCAATTTTATGCGTTAAATCAAGGCTCTATGATTTAAAAAATCAAATTATATAGGAAAAGGCCAATGAGAGAGAGAGAAAGAGAGAGGGAGAGAGGGAGGTAGAGAGAGAGAGAGAGAGAGAGAGAGAGAGAGAGAGAGAGAGAGAGAGAGAGAGAGAGAGAGAGAGAGA